TTAACACAATCGATTCTAAATAGGAGAAGTTTTAGATATGTACAGTATTTTCTTGTTTCACCAAAATTTTTTTTTGTAAATCCATATGAAATAGCAGCTGGACAATAAGCTTAATTCGGTTAGATATAGAATAGAGAAAAGAGCTCATTTACGTAATTACAACATAAGACAAGTAAACCCTAATTTAATGGCCAGAATTTCGCAGCCGACATTAATCATGAGATCACTGATGATGTGATTCTCTGGAAAACAAATATATACAAATGTATACAAATTTTGTCTTGCAGACAATGGCATGATGATACCTGGATTGTTTTCGTTAACATGTGGTCATACCTAAGTAGTATAAACAGGAAATATTTTGCGTTTAGCTCCGAATGAAAAAATTTTCTTATCCAATATTTATGGATGTTCAATATTTTATTGGACCAAGAATTTTGAAAAGTCATTACTCGTACTGTCTTATAAGCGCATTATTGAATATCTACCTTATCCCATTGCTGCGCCACTAGTCTTTGTCGATATGTACCGATTTGGACCAAATACAATGGTATATAAAAAATTTCATTATTTGCTGGGGGTTTCCATTATATTTTCTAAAATTAAATAAACGTGAACTAGGAAACCCTGATACCCTGATTATAGATCTGCGAGGTTACATTAACAAATTTGTTATAAAACCTGACAAAAACATGAATTTCTTGTTCACCAAAAAAAGGTTGATAGTGCCTCAATTTAAATTTGAATTTTTTCTTCGTCAGGTTAATTTTTTCTTTGAAATTTACTTAATTAAATTTCCATTCTTTCCCGTGTTGTCTTTTTAAAATTTTGGATTGTTACTTGTTTTATCGATCTTTTTTAATGATATATATATTGTAATTGGATTTCTGTTTTGGCGAGTCCAAAAAAAAATCGAATTCTATTACTAAAAAGGCAATCCTGAATTGTTATTAAAAAATCTTTTCACGACACAGGAAAAACGAATTCTTTTTTGGTGTTTATATTCAATTGGCAAGACGATAAATTCCTTGCTTTAAATTAAACATCGTAAAAAAACAAACCGACCAAATTCTTCATTACATCATATAAATATCGACTTCACAATAATACTTCATAATCCCAATAACGATAATAAAATATATTTTTTTAAAATCCCGACATCAATTAACAAAAAAACTAAACAATGTATGATAAAGAACCAACACCATTCGAAATTCAACAAATTATAGCAGAACCTTCTGGTTCAACAGATTCTTCAAATCAAACCCTTAAGGAAGATGTAGTTAATGTAGTTGATAATAGTGAATTTCTTGACATACCTCAAACTCGGCCTCGAAAAGATAATGGAACTGCAACAACTTTTAATAGGTTATCAGATCGATATACCTTTTCATTTTCTGCAGATTTAATTGCACAGGTTTGTTTGT